AGTAGGTGTCAGGGTATGGCAGGACCTTACGTAATGCCTTTGGGGGTGAACCTGACTGTTTTCCATACGCATTTCTCATCGGTCTGCACTGTAAGTTTATTCGCAGGAAGTAGATATTGCTGTCCTTATTTCCCAGGTTGGGGAACACCCAGTGGACAGTGTGGAGAAAACACTGGCTGAAGAATCTAGTGTCTGTCCTTGCCTTGCCCAACTGTTCTGTGACTCTGTTCCCTACCCCTGGTTGTGAGGTGCTGAGGTGAGCCCCTCTGCCCTCGCACCTTCCTCAGTGCCTGCCTTCCACCGGCCTTGTCTGGCACACACTAGGCTTATATAAAATGTCTATAGAGCTGAAATGAGCCCCCAAACCTGGATCGGAGACCAGGCCATATGTGACTGGGTGAGTCTTTGCCCTTTGGCCTTTCTGTAAAATAAGGGATGTGAGCCTAACTGACCTCTGAGGTCCGCATCTGTTTCCCTCATTTGCTAGTGGGAAGCCATCCACTCAGTAAACCATTTGTGTGCTAGGTCCTGCCCTAGGTGCTTCACATGGGGGGCGTCCGGCTTGAGGATGAAGAAGGGCTTGTGACAGATGACTTAGAGCACTTTATTGTACTGTGCTATGGGAGCCTAGTGGAGGCCATTATCTTGGCTGCATGTTGGAGTTGAAAGGAAGTCTTGGGAGTGTATGTGTTGGGATTGCAGTTTCCTTACAGATGGTGGCGTTTTAAGCTATGAGCCATGGTGACTTTCTTGGTGCTCCTATTTGACTTCATATTCTGTTCTGGAGTGTCTGTGTCCCTTTCACAGTGTAATCACCATCAATTGGCCTTGACGGCACTCTAGATGGATGCGCTTATGTGGAGCAGGTAACAGAGAACTAACTGCAGTGCCTTCCTTTGCTGCTCCTTGGGTTAGGGTGACTCTGCAGGGCAGCAGGGTGGATGCTGGAGTTGGGCAGGAGAGGGTGAAATAGATAACTAAATGTTGAGTTGTGTTGTGTCCTTGGGCAACTCACATATCTTTCTGTTTTATCTGTGGAATGAGTATAACCTCTCAGCAGGACAGGGAGGCTGAATTATTGATTCCAAAGTGCTTTACAAGTAGAAAGTTCCTTGACTTGTTCACTCAGTGACAGATCATTCCAAAGCCACAAGGCGCTGCTTCAGGTGATCTAACAAATAGAGTTGCCAAAGCAAAATAGTGCCACATTGATAACATCCTTAAGTTCCTTTATTTTCTTCAAAAATATTCGTCTATGAAAATGACAGTGAATTACTTAGGTGCCTAAAATGATTTAGAGCAATCATCAAAATATGTATCAATACCTTAATTCTACCTGGATTAAAATGCATCTCAACCTGAAATGTTTGAAGGCCTTTAAAATTGAATCGAATGAGTAGTGTTACTTTACAGATACTTCAGGAAGACATCATTGAGGTAATACTGGCAAGTCAGATTTTTTTAGCTGGTGGTGTTTCTTATCTCATGGGCACACCTCGTTTTTGTCATTGTGCTTAAGTGTTATGCCTCAACCATGCTGTGGTGGGCATTCCAGACAGCTAGAGATCAAATGGGAGTGTAGGCAGGAAGATACCTTGTGCTGGAACCTCAAACCTTGGTGCTACTGCCTTGCTCCTCGCTGCCAATTGAGTCAATTCAGCATCCCCTTTCTACCGCAGTATCTTGGTGCACACTGTTCCCATTGTCAGGTATGTTCCCCTCACTGCTCCTCTCCTCCTGGTTCACTTCTGTTTATTCTTGAGATCTCAGCTCACTTGGTACTTGCTGACGGAAGCTTTCCTGACTTACCTCCAGATCTATCGCTCCCTGTTTGTTATACTCCTCCATCTTAGCACTTATTTATATCCTTGTATTGGTGTACTTATTGGATTAATACCTGTCTCCACTACTAAACTTTCAAGTTCCTTGGGGCCATGGCCATGACTCTGTCATGATTATAGATTGCCTACCTGAAATAGTACCTGCCTGGCTCAGTAAGTACATGTGGAATGAATAATTCTTCAGTGCCCGTAAGAGAAATCTAGAGCTATTGACTTCCTACACTACTATCCTGGTGGGCTGCGGCCTGGTTCTCTTTCTTACCTGCTTCCCACCTTTAGAATGCAGCTATCCCATTGGAGAGACAGAAAAGACAGTGCCACTAAGGCAGAATGTGACTGCTTTTACTTTGCAGATTATGTGTATGTCTTAGAAATAGTTGAGCATCCCTAATCCAAAAATCTGAAGTGCTCCAAAATCCAAAGCTTTTTGATTGCCAACACGATATGAAAGTGGAAAATTCTATACCTGACCTCATGTGATAGGTTGCAGTAAACAAGCTACAGTATAGATACATTGTATAAAATTACCTTCAGGTTGTGTGTATACAGATATATGAAACATAAATGAATTCTGTGTTTAGATCTGGGTCCCATCCCCAAGATATCTCATTATGTACATGTACATACTCCAAAATCTGAAAAAAATCTGAATTGCTTCTGGTCCTAAGCATTTTAGATAAGGGATGCTCAACCTGTATCATGGCTTGGTAGGGGCTAAAGGCATAGGCTGTGCTCCAAATCTCCTTTCCAGCCTTTTGGAGTCTATGTCTGAACCTACTGCTGTATCACCAAGGCTGTGGAAACTGCAGTGACAGAGAATAATTCACAAGTGTCAACACTCAGATGTGCAGAGCTGCCAGCTGACCCTCTGCCTGTTTCCATCTGGCACAGAACTGGTTGATCATGAGTTTCTTTTCATAATTGCTTTTTAGTGACACAGATAAAGACTTGCTGAAATAGACATACTGGACCCACCAAGATGTCTTTCCTTGAATTCCTGAGGTGTTCTAACAGTTTGGGAGCCCAGTGCATAGATTAAGCAAACTATTAGAATGATACAGAATCAGCAGACTCTGACTCTGAGGCATTTCTAGGAGGTAGCAGTCTGGGAGTGGGTTTCATTAAGTGGGCATCCTGCCCACACCTTGGAGCCTTGGGATTTTCTGCTCCCTTGGAGGAAGTGCTGGCACAGAGAAGGCCCTTCAGCCTGGTAGACAGGCAGTACTTGAAGGCTGTGAGTACTCTGTTTGGTTTTCTGTGTTGTCCACAGTGAGTCCCTGCTGGGAGTGTGGTGCATCCCTCAGATGTGTTGGACTGGAACAGAGGCTGAGAAATATTGCTCTGGGGCTCTGTCCTGTGGTCATGGAGTATTGATCAGGTCAGTAGCGTTTAGAAACTTCTAGTATGCTGCAGCTTCTGAAGCCTTTGTGGAATCTGAGTTAAAAGTATCTTATTTGAAGTCAGGAAAAATGGATCTGATTGCTTGTAAAGGCAGCTACTTGGCCTTTAATAGTCATTTGCAGAGTATTTAAAACATTTGTTTATCTAATGCCTCCTGGATTCCTACCATGTGCAAGGTGCTTTAAGTATAAAAATATCCATGTGAAAGGTGCTTTAAGTATAAAAATAAATGGGATGTAGTCCTTTTCTCAATGTCCAAGCCCAGTGGAAGAAGCATAAATGGAAAGATAAACTAAAACTTAACAGAGTATGAGACATTACAGAAAAAGGGACCCAAATACCACCTGAATACAAAAGACAAAGCAAATAATTCTACCTAGAGCATGTAAGGAAGATTCTGTCGTGGAAGTGACTTTAGAGGTGGAGTTTGAAAGATAACTATAGGTTTTGGTCAGACCAGAGGGTGGGAAAGAAGTCTTAGAAGGGATAAAGTATGCACAGGTGCAGGGTCACCAGGGGGCTTGGTATGTTCAGACAGTTGTGAAAAAGCTAGTGTGGTAGGATCATTGCCAGTGATGTGTCTTGTGATGTGGAAATACATAAACCATTACTGCAAATATTCTTTACAGATTGTTGTTTGCTAAAAAGCAGGCTCCTGATGCGTCAGCATGAATGTATTATTGGTACTGTCCATGAACTACTCAACACCTGAATGATTGTTGTTCTGGTATATGAAGCCACCAACAGTCAAGAAATTGTCTTGGGGGAACCAGCAGTTAGTGTAATGGCTATGTTGCTGGACTCCCACGTAGTCGACCGCGGTTCGCGTCCCGGACCCGGTGGCTTAAAACTCACGGCGGGCGCATGTGCGTGCGTGCCCAAGATCCCGAGAGGAGAATGGAGGAGAAGGGATTGTGGCGTGACCATCCCCCTGGGGGGTGATTTCTCGCTTTCTGTCTCTGTGTCTCTCTCTGTCTGTCTGGTGAGTGCACGCGCCCTATAGCAAAGAATTACATTTAATCACTATACATCTTTACAGTATACAACATGTTTTTTCCCAGCACAAATATAGTGCATATCAGTCAAGACAAAGACAATACCATATGGATTATCATCAGCAAATGACTTCATTTTGTTTCAGTTAAATGTATTATTTTTTCTCCTATTCCCTTCACTCTCTCCCCCTATTACCCACTCTCTATTACTCATCCCTTACTATCTCTACTATCTATAGTTGCTCTCCTTGCTGTTATACCCTCCAGTCTTTCAGTTTATGCTACAGAGCACAGACATTTGGTGTATGTATTTTCTTTTCTTCTTTCTTTCTTTCTTTCTTTCTTTTTTTTCTTTTTTTTTTTTGAGAGGTTTTTACTATAGGGAACATGCCCTCACCAGAAAGACAGGGAGAGACAGAGAGACTGAAAGCGAGAAATCACCCCCCAGGGAGGATGGCCAAGCTGTAATCCCCTCTCCTCCATTCTCCTCTTTGGATCTTGGGCACACACGCACATGCACCTGCCATGAGTTTAAGTCACCAGGTCCGGGAGTCAAACCGCAGTCGACTACATGGGAGTCCAGCGACATAGCCATTATGCCAACTGCTGGTCCCACATTTGGTGTATTTTCATCCAGGACATACAAAGTTTGTCTTTCATAGTCTGCCTTGCTTTGCTTAGCATTAAGTATTCCATATTCATCCACTTTGTATCAAATGTCAGGACCTCATTGTTTTTTTATGGCTGAGTAGTATTCCCTAGAGTACATGTACCACATTTTTACAATTCACTCTTGTCTATTTGTGGACATTTGAGCTTATTTTATGTACTAGTAATTGTAAATAATGCTGCAATGAACATGGATGTGCAAGTGTTTTTCCAATTGAGGGTTCTCCTATCCTTTGGATAAATATCTAAGAGTGGAGAGGTTATTATTATTAATAATAGCTGTGAATTATCACGTGCCTACCACATGCCTCACACAGCATAAATGCTTTGTTTCTACTATCCCTGATCTTTATAACAATCCTGCAATTTAGATTTTATTTTTATAAGGTTTATTGTTAGAAGACTTATTTTATTTTATAAGTTTATTTATTTACTTATTCCATGCAAGACATAGAAAGAGAATGCACCCCTATCAGGGTCTTGACCCCACAATTCATCCCCAGAGCATGTGCCTGATATACTTTGGGATGACAATCCAGAACCTTTCCACTTGGGTCAGCCTTACAGAGTATCAGATGGATGCTGTGCCACCATCTGGCCCTCCAGCCTTATTTTAGAGAGTCTTACAGAGCTTGTGACTTCCCTAAAGTCACATAGACAGTAAGGGGGCAGGTAAATTTCCTTCTGATGGATGTGCTCTTTCCTGCATGATATGAAAATGATTAAACAAAACAAGCCTTATATCTGAGCTTACACATCTAAATGAGTATTATCATTCAAATAAATAAATAAAAATATGTATACACACACACACACCTGTTCCATTGCTCATGCACCTTATTTCTCAGCTGGTATTCCCTTTAAAGTCAGTTTACAAATCACATAAGAAAATTCACCTCATTACTTTGTAATCCTGTCATTTTGACCTAAAATAGTGCCACCTGGTTTGATCACACGTCTCATTCCCTAAACTTGGCTCAGACTGACTTTCAGCCCATTTCCAAAAATTTAATCCACTATTGGCAAAGATTTGGCACCATTTAGGATATTCAAAAGAACAGACCACAAATTCTCAAGGCACTTCCAAGAGGACAACTCCCAAAATGGTTTGAAAAGTCAAGTTTCAGTGGAACTAGTGCATTGCCTCCTAGGGTTCAAGGAGACAAGTTTCATTTGAATGTATAATTTCTGGTTTTAAAAATATCATCATTATTTGACAATCACACACACGCACACACATTTTTCTTGGCTGTGAGTTCTTTAAAGGCCAGGATTTCAAGGCACTGAATATGCTGAATGAGTGGATGTGGAGTACAAATAGACAAGAACTACTGGCTAACTGTTGTTGTAGGATAGAGACTGGTTTACAGGAGGTCTCTCTCAATAGTTTCATAGGACTTAAGGAATTAAGCTTCCTGATTTTGATCTTGGGATTTCTAATCACCGTGCATGATGATAGGTCACGCCTGTACAAGGGAACTAGAGTTTAAAATGAAAGTTTTGAATTGAACTTTAGAGAGGTGCTTTTTATAACTGCCAATTCATACTTTGTCAGCTCTGATCTCATAATGAGAAAAATTAATGCTAAATAAGATTGCTCTGATGATGTGGCAGAACTGTTCTTTTACAAAATACTAAATGGGTAAAATATCTCATTTACACAGTGTTTTCACAGACCTTTATCTTAATGAGTCAATATATGAAAAATCAGATGAGGAGACAGACTTAGAGCAGAGTACCACACAGTTGACAAATGGCAGAAAAGGAACCTGTGTACAGCTCTTACCACTGCCCTGGGCTCTTTCTTTCTTTTTCTTATTTATTTATTTATTTATTATTGAGAGATTTTTGCCATAGGGCATGTGCATTCACTAGAAAGACAGAGAGAGAGAGAGACAGAGAGAGAGAGAGACTGAAAGCGAGAAATCCCCCCCCCCCAGCCATGCCACAATCCCTTCTCCTCCATTCTCCTCTCAGGATCTTGGGCACGCACGCACACGTGCCTGGCACGACTACATGGGAGTCCAGCAACATAGCCATTACGCCATCTGCTGGTCCTACCCTGGGCTCTTTCTAATCCTCCTAAAGTGTGATTTGGTTTTATGTGGCTTTGTGATTTCTTTTCTCTACTGGATAAATGTTCTTAAACATTTTTCATCTTTATAAGACTAGTTAAAAGCTCTAGTGAAAGACTAAATTTAGTTAGTAAGGTTCTGCTCAGTTTAAGAAGTTTGCGAGAAGGTAGCAGTTTGTTGGAGCAATTCCCCCAAGCTGTAAACAGATGTGCCACCCAGAGTGAGTGAGTGTATGTGTGTTCCAGGTAAGCCAGCAGCTTCCACTTCAGAAAACTTGATTTTAAAAAAGTGTCTGTGCTGCATTCTTTTGTGATGCAGAAAGCAGGAGAATTTCACAAGGTTATCCCATTCCTCTCCCTTCCTTCCTCCCCACCTCACATAATCACAAAGTAGGAAGAGGAAATTTGAGTCTAACCAGAAAGTTCCATATAAATTTCAGAGAGGACAGTAGCTTTGTGGTTTGGCTGATGTGACACTACTTATTTATTTTTTTTTGGAGAGGTTTTTGCTATAGGACGCATGCACTTACCAGAAAGACAGAGAGAGACAGAGAGATAGAAAGTGAGAGATCACCCCCCAGCAGGGGATGGCCATGCCGCAATCCCTTCTCCATTCTCCTCTCAGGATCTTAGGCATGCATGCACACGTGCCTGGTGTGAGTTTAAGCCACTGGGTTCAGGACGCGAATTGTGGTCAACTACATGGGAGTTCAGCAGCATAGCCATTATGCTAACTGCTGGTCCCACATGTGACACTACTTATTGACTATGTGCTAGCATTACAGATTCAGATGAGAGTGGAATAAATGCTTTTTCTTTCTTTTCTTTTTCCCCTATAGGGCACATGTGCTCACCAGAGAGAGAGGGAGAAAGAGAAGTCACCCCCCAGGGAGGATGACCACACACAGTCACTTCTTCTCCAGTCTCAGGACTTTGGACACACATGTACACGTGCCCAGTGTGATTTTCTAGTCTGGGACTCTTACCGCACAGTCAGCCACATAGAATCCAGTACCTTAAACTCCACACACCTGCTAGCCTTGGAATAAGTGCATTTTAAAGGGATAATTAGAAGAGTGAAATTTAAGAAGTAGTGGTTAATACTAGAACAGTGGAATCTCTATTTGCTCATTTGCAGAGAATTAAGAAAAGTCTATTTTTTTTGTGTGTGTGTTTCTTATATATTTTGATGCCTTTTTCCCCCTTGATTCCTTCCCTCTCACCCTCTGCCATTTCCCA